CTCGTATCATAAAAACTCGAAAAAAAACAACAACAAACAAGACATCTTCTCAATAAAAAAAGAACATATAAAAAAAAGGAACGCCGAAGACGGTGTGTATTTCAATGCGTCGGTCCACAGCATCGCAGACTACCGCAGCTTCTTCTTCATGCGGAGGTTGGAGCAGTGGCCACATGCCTTCTTGCGGCAGTTGGACGCACGCACCGGCAGACGGGCGTAGCAGCGGCGGCATACCTTCTTCTCCCAGTTGTACTTCTTCGCCAGGGCCTCAAGTGTCGGCTCCATCACACCACCGCGCAGGCGCAGCACAAGGTGCAGCGTGGACTCCTTCTGGATGTTGTAGTCTGCGAGCGTGCGGCCGTCCTCCAGCTGCTTGCCAGCGAAGATCAGGCGCTGCTGGTCCGGCGGAATGCCCTCCTTGTCCTGGATCTTCGCCTTCACGTTCTCAATGGTGTCGCTGGATTCCACTTCGAGCGCGATCGTCTTGCCCGTCAGTGTCTTCACGAAGATCTGCATGCCGCCGCGCAGGCGCAGCACAAGGTGCAGCGTGGACTCCTTCTGGATGTTGTAGTCTGCGAGCGTGCGGCCGTCCTCCAGCTGCTTGCCAGCGAAGATCAGGCGCTGCTGGTCCGGCGGAATGCCCTCCTTGTCCTGGATCTTCGCCTTCACGTTCTCAATGGTGTCGCTGGATTCCACCTCGAGCGCGATCGTCTTGCCCGTCAGTGTCTTCACGAAGATCTGCATGCCGCCGCGCAGGCGCAGCACAAGGTGCAGCGTGGACTCCTTCTGGATGTTGTAGTCTGCGAGCGTGCGGCCGTCCTCCAGCTGCTTGCCAGCGAAGATCAGGCGCTGCTGGTCCGGCGGAATGCCCTCCTTGTCCTGGATCTTCGCCTTCACGTTCTCAATGGTGTCGCTGGACTCCACCTCGAGCGCGATCGTCTTGCCCGTCAGTGTCTTCACGAAGATCTGCATGCCGCCGCGCAGGCGCAGCACAAGGTGCAGCGTGGACTCCTTCTGGATGTTGTAGTCTGCGAGCGTGCGGCCGTCCTCCAGCTGCTTGCCAGCGAAGATCAGGCGCTGCTGGTCCGGCGGAATGCCCTCCTTGTCCTGGATCTTCGCCTTCACGTTCTCAATGGTGTCGCTGGATTCCACCTCGAGCGCGATCGTCTTGCCCGTCAGTGTCTTCACGAAGATCTGCATGCCGCCGCGCAGGCGCAGCACAAGGTGCAGCGTGGACTCCTTCTGGATGTTGTAGTCTGCGAGCGTGCGGCCGTCCTCCAGCTGCTTGCCAGCGAAGATCAGGCGCTGCTGGTCCGGCGGAATGCCCTCCTTGTCCTGGATCTTCGCCTTCACGTTCTCAATGGTGTCGCTGGATTCCACCTCGAGCGCGATCGTCTTGCCCGTCAGTGTCTTCACGAAGATCTGCATGCCGCCGCGCAGGCGCAGCACAAGGTGCAGCGTGGACTCCTTCTGGATGTTGTAGTCTGCGAGCGTGCGGCCGTCCTCCAGCTGCTTGCCAGCAAAGATCAGGCGCTGCTGGTCCGGCGGAATGCCCTCCTTGTCCTGGATCTTCGCCTTCACGTTCTCAATGGTGTCGCTGGATTCCACCTCGAGCGCGATCGTCTTGCCCGTCAGTGTCTTCACGAAGATCTGCATGCCGCCGCGCAGGCGCAGCACAAGGTGCAGCGTGGACTCCTTCTGGATGTTGTAGTCTGCGAGCGTGCGGCCGTCCTCCAGCTGCTTGCCAGCGAAGATCAGGCGCTGCTGGTCCGGCGGAATGCCCTCCTTGTCCTGGATCTTCGCCTTCACGTTCTCAATGGTGTCGCTGGATTCCACCTCGAGCGCGATCGTCTTGCCCGTCAGTGTCTTCACGAAGATCTGCATGCCGCCGCGCAGGCGCAGCACAAGGTGCAGCGTGGACTCCTTCTGGATGTTGTAGTCTGCGAGCGTGCGGCCGTCCTCCAGCTGCTTGCCAGCGAAGATCAGGCGCTGCTGGTCCGGCGGAATGCCCTCCTTGTCCTGGATCTTCGCCTTCACGTTCTCAATGGTGTCGCTGGACTCCACCTCGAGCGCGATCGTCTTGCCCGTCAGTGTCTTCACGAAGATCTGCATGGTTTCGCGTTCCTAACAGTGTGTTAATAGCAACTAAGCAGGAAACTCTAAAGCACAATTGGTTGTAAGAATTTTAAAAGACAAGAATAATATCGCCATAATTCCAAAGAATAGAAAGAATTACCAATCACTGCATGAATGCAGTCGGACAAACTGCTCGTATCATAAAAACTGAAAAAAAACAACAACAAACAAGACATCTTCTCAATAAAAAAAACATATAAAAAAAAGGAACGCCGAAGACGGTGTGTATTTCAATGCGTCGGTCCACAGCATCGCAGACTACCGCAGCTTCTTCTTCATGCGGAGGTTGGAGCAGTGGCCACATGCCTTCTTGCGGCAGTTGGACGCACGCACCGGCAGACGGGCGTAGCAGCGGCGGCATACCTTCTTCTCCCAGTTGTACTTCTTCGCCAGGGCCTCAAGTGTCGGCTCCATCACACCACCGCGCAGGCGCAGCACAAGGTGCAGCGTGGACTCCTTCTGGATGTTGTAGTCTGCGAGCGTGCGGCCGTCCTCCAGCTGCTTGCCAGCGAAGATCAGGCGCTGCTGGTCCGGCGGAATGCCCTCCTTGTCCTGGATCTTCGCCTTCACGTTCTCAATGGTGTCGCTGGATTCCACCTCGAGCGCGATCGTCTTGCCCGTCAGTGTCTTCACGAAGATCTGCATGGTTTCGCGTTCCTAACAACGTTCATATTTGAGTACAATCATTAATAATAATTATAATAGTAAATTAATAAGAATGACAAGAAAGGTAAGAAGAAAGAAAAGAAAAAAAAAAAAAAAAAAAAAAAAAAAGAGGCATTCATGTTTTATTTTGAGCTTCATAAAGTTATGACATTAGTGAAACACATATTTTCTGTTTTTTTTTCTTTTTTGTTAAAACTATTTATATGTCAAGTAATGTTTATATATAAATAAATAAATATATATATATGTGTGTGTAATGGGTGTAGGAAATAAAGTGCATCAATGAGGAATATAATGTTGCAGTTCCCCTTTTAAGAAGTCTTCATAAAAACATTTATATATAAATAATAATAAATAATAATAAAATAGGATTTCGTGTTTTTTTTTTTTTTTTTTTTTTTTTTTTTTTACATACAATTCACACGTGATGTTAATTCATTCACAAATCGGTTGTAGTCAATTTTATCATCCGTTTCATCCACTTCAGCAACGGCAAGAAGTTCTTCCAATTCTTCCGGTGTGGATCGCTCGCCAAGCGTGGCAAATAATTCTGTAAATTGTTTCCGTGTAACATATCCGGTTTTATGTTTATCATAATGAAAAAAAGCAGAACGTAATTCATCTGCCATCGTATCATCTACTTCCCGTGTCATTAATAAAAGGAAATCCGAAAAACTTAGTTCATCCGCATTTTGTGGTTCACTTTGGCCAATTACCCGAAGGGCATCATGAAATTCTTCTTCCGTTAAATGCATACCAACATTCTGCATAAGTGCATAGACATCTTTAGATGGAATAAATAACTTTTTATAACCACCACTTAATACATAAAACCCTTCTGCCATTTCTGAAATAATATTATGTGAAATCGGACCACGATAAAGAGGACGATTCATCGCACGATATTCCAAAGCCGTTGTAGTGGCATTGGCTTGAGTGGAATTTAAATGTTGATGATGTGGATGCTGTCCAGTAGACATCTTACCATCCACGTTTGCATCCCCTTGAACCTTCACTGTTCCACGTGCCTGCATTTCAAATATAAAAATAAAATGCTACCAACGGCTCAAATGAAAGCACCGCCTTTTCCTCCTCCTCCTCTTCCTCCTTCCCCTCTTCTTTCACCACTTCTACTTCTATTAATAATAATAAATACCGATATATTTCCAACGAGACTACAGGCAAAAAAATAATAATAAAATCGCTACTACCACCACTACAAACACCTCCAATAGGCAAAAATAATAAAAATAAAAATAAAAATAAATGCAATGCTTCAATGAAACAACCAAAATGGAAATTAAGTACCACCACACGCAGAAAGAAAGAAAGAAAGAAAGGGGAAAAGAAGCAACGTTAATGAGAGTCAAAGTAAATACAAATAGTTATAAAAATAAAGTACTCAGGCTACCCACTGCTCAACCAATACGGTCAAACACACACAGACACACACTCATCAGGGGAGTGAACAGGCAAACAGTTATATATACAGAAACAGAAACAGAAACAGAAAGGAAAAGGAAAAGAAAAAAAACGGGAGCAGAGAACATTTAAAAGACGCGTGGCATAACTCCAACCCTCCCACACAAACAGAGGCACACAGATGCACATGCACATGCACCCTCTTCCGGGCAATGTTTGTGCCGTTCACGTCTTATTCCTTAATTCCTTCTTTTATGCCAGTTTCTCTCCTCCTTTTTTTATTTTTCCTTTTTCCCCTCCCTCTCTCTCTCCCTCTCTCTTCTTCTTCCTCCCTCTCCGGCCGTCATATAATAATGCCTTTCATCCCCGTGTGATTCCTGACTGGCGCTCAATGATACCCTGGCCCCGACGACACACACGCACACACATGCACTTTCGTGCCTGCTCTTCCCACCTTTTTTTTTCTTCTCTCTCTCTCTCTCTCTCTTTTTATCCATTCCACCTCATATCCCCTTTTTTTTTTACTGCCAGTTTATCAATGAATACGCCGGCAGGCTTGTGAGCAACGTCTGCACGCAGCCACGTCAAGAGAAGGTGGGAAAAAAAAAAAAAGAAAAACCAGAAGAAATACTGCGATCAACAAAGAGATTGAATAATAATAATAATAATAATAATAAAAGATGCCTTCAAGCAGCACAAAGAAAGTAAAATGAAGTACGTCTTCTAACGGGCACAAGCGTCCAGGCCAAAAATGAAATCAATCAAGGAAACAAACAAACAAACAAACAAAAAAAAAGACGTACATAAAATAAATAAAAGAAATCCTTCAACATTACAAGTCATTAAATACATCCCACACAAGACATCTATTTGTTTGATCATCGTCCGTCCAGTGACACCTCTTCCTTTCCTTTTCCCCATTAGCCTGTCACTGTCGGCTTCGCTCTCTCCCCGCCAGGGCCGCCGCACGTCGCTCACTTGCTCATCATCATCTTGACGAACTCCTCGTAGTTGATTTGGCCATCGCCGTCCACGTCGGCCTCGCGGATCATTTCGTCCACCTCCTCGTCCGTCAGCTTCTCGCCGAGGTTCGTCATGACGTGGCGCAGCTCGGCGGCGGAGATGAAGCCGTTGCCGTCCTTGTCAAACACGCGGAACGCCTCCTTGATCTCCTCCTCCGAGTCCGAGTCCTGCATCTTGCGGGCCATCAGCGTCAGGAACTCGGGGAAGTCAATGGTGCCGCTGCCGTCCTGGTCCACCTCGTTGATCATGTCCTGCAGCTCCGCCTCCGTCGGGTTCTGGCCCAGCGAGCGCATCACCGTGCCGAGCTCCTTCGTCGTGATGGTGCCATCGCCGTCCTTGTCGAACAGCGAGAAGGCCTCCTTGAACTCGGAGATCTGCTCGTTGGACAGTTGATCAGCCATTTGGAAAGTAAGCCTTGGTGGTGGTAATTCCTCTTTTTTTGTTGGTTTTGGTTTTGGTGTTCTTCTTGTTGGTTGTTGTTGTTGTTGTTGTGAGCGCTCCTTGCACCGGCCGTGGTGCCATCGCGGAGGTAGAGAAAGAATAGTGAAAACAATAAAAAATCGGTACGCAACAAACATGGGGGATGCGAAGGTTCTGCAGAAACGCCGTGACAACAAGTCACTGTTCAGAAATAAAAGGGAGACGATGCCACACCCCTCCCCCAAAGTACGCGTGTATTCTCCCGTTGTTATTTGTGTTCTCTTTGACTTTCACTTTTCCGCATCCCGTTTATTCCCCTTGTTTACCATCTTTTGCAAATGCGTGCGTACACCACTAGGGTTCCTTCTCAGTCTTTTTTTCCCCCTTGCCACCCACCCCCTTCAACCTCCTCTGTTCCATGGGCGCAGCTCAGCTGTGGAACGAATGGGGTGCTTTATCGCGAGATTAAATTCCGAAATAAAAGAAAAAGTGATGCAACAATAAAAAACGACAAAAAACATTTATTTAAATTTATTTACATCCGGATATACATTCCCATAAAGCCCTCGACATACAAAGAAGGAACGCGCCGACGATTCCCTTTTCCCCTCCTTTTCCCCATTAGCCTGTCACTGTCGGCTTCGCTCTCTCCCCGCCAGGGCCGCCGCACGTCGCTCACTTGCTCATCATCATCTTGACGAACTCCTCGTAGTTGATTTGGCCATCGCCGTCCACGTCGGCCTCGCGGATCATTTCGTCCACCTCCTCGTCCGTCAGCTTCTCGCCGAGGTTCGTCATGACGTGGCGCAGCTCGGCGGCGGAGATGAAGCCGTTGCCGTCCTTGTCAAACACGCGGAACGCCTCCTTGATCTCCTCCTCCGAGTCCGAGTCCTGCATCTTGCGGGCCATCAGCGTCAGGAACTCGGGGAAGTCAATGGTGCCGCTGCCGTCCTGGTCCACCTCGTTGATCATGTCCTGCAGCTCCGCCTCCGTCGGGTTCTGGCCCAGCGAGCGCATCACCGTGCCGAGCTCCTTCGTCGTGATGGTGCCATCGCCGTCCTTGTCGAACAGCGAGAAGGCCTCCTTGAACTCGGAGATCTGCTCGTTGGACAGTTGATCAGCCATTTGAAAAGTAAGCCTTGGTGGTGATTCCTCTTTTTTTGTTGGTTTTGGTTTTGGTGTTCTTCTTGTTGGTTGTTGTTGTTGTTGTTGTGAGCGCTCCTTGCACCGGCCGTGGTGCCATCGCCGTCACAGTTCGTACAGCGTTTGTGTGTGTATCATAAATGTTGAAGAATCAAAAGGCAACAGATCACACAACACGGTAAAAACACCGCAACAGTCCCGTAGAAATGGAAACTGACAAATACACAAGAATCATACGCAAGGTATGCCAAAAGAAAGTGAAATGAAAATCTGAGGGTCGTAAATAAAGAGAGAGAGAGAGAGAGAGGATAGAGAGAAAAAGAAAAAAAATATATATGAGGATGACTCTAGGTCATTGGGTTCATGGGGATAAATGACGGTGATGGCACACTTGCAGTCACAAATATATGTTCGTTCCCCTATCCTTCAGTTGCCTAATGTTTTTTTTTAATTTTTTATTTTTGCCTAATTTTCGCCTTGGATTGCAATGAGGCTACACACACACGACACCCCCCCCCCCGCCACTTCTTTACCCCGTCTGCCGATCTTCTCGTCTTTGTGTTTAATTGCGGTCTTGACTCCGTGCCTGCTCTGGTACCCGCTCCCAAGCACCGCCTTCCCATCGCTCCATGTATAGAGAAGTAAAAAAAAAGACGTCAATATCTATCAGAACGCAAGGAAGTGTCCGTGAAGGCAAAGAAATAATGGCACTGGGCTGCGTGCATTCATCATGTCTTTGGTTCCGTCACTGTCATACATACCCGCCTTTCCCCCCCCCCC